TACCGAGGGATATCGAAGAAGATATTAGAGTGAACTTTTTGAAAATCAAGTCACAACAAAGGCCACGGAGCTACCAATTCCGAGTCCAGTATTATGATGAGGATGATAACAAAACAGGAGAGGGAGAAATACTCTTTATTGCTCCCAGACACCCATCTGAGAGCATACCACTGGCGAGAATTGTCACTCAGCAACCAAAATCGTGGGAAAATTCTGATGTCGAGCTGAGAGATCCAGACCAAGGGAAGTGGGGAAGAGGTCCTGAGATTACTGAAAACGAAGCCGACAGACTGACAGGTTGCTGCTGTTTGTGTTGTCATGGAAACAGCTGCCAGTACGTGTCTAACCTTCTACAAGGGTCTTTTCCTCATCATATTACCGCCAATCAGTTCTTTACACCCGATATGTTTACCGTGTATCATCGTGAAGGCTATGCGGCTTCTGTTGAGGCTGATGTTTCAGGTTTCTTAAAGACAAATTAGAGGAAGACTAGCGAAAATATGTACATGATCAGCTGTTGACCAAAGTAACCGTGTTTACAGGGACAGCAATTTTGCGTAGACGGAGATAAATGCAGCATAAGAATGAAAACAATGTCTTTGTAGGAATATCAGGATTTCTCATCCGTTTGCGGAGAGGTGGTGATTTCTTCAAAGTAAAACGAGTAAAATAACGACGATCTTCTTTTAATCCTCTCAACAGTCCTGAATACAAGCATAAACTAAGCAAACTTTTCACAAATTACTGATTCCTGTTGCTGTGTAACCTGGCTTGTTTGTCCTGAAGGAATCGTACAGTTCGTTTAGACTTTTTATCTACAACTTCTTCCCACTGCCTTAGATTGTTTGTTCCTGAAAAGATGAAAAATGATCGATTTTTGCTTTTGGATTGTTTTTGAGCAACATTTGAACGACCACCGAGTGTGATTCATGGTCGCGTTGCATCACTGCTTCTCAGGGCGAACTTATTCAGAGTTTTCTCTCCTACAATAAGCTGTCCGTAGGATTTTATCTTATTTCTAAAAATTTTTTTCTATACAAAGAACGCTAATTAGTGATAGGTAAAGATTATCTCGAATTAAACTATTAATGACATTATATAGATATACCTGTCACAATGATAACAATAATAATAATAATAATAATTTGAACTTATGTTTTATGAATATAATTATAATTTTAAAATATTTACGAATTATCAATATATTTCTCAAATTAAGGAAAGCAAAGTTATGTAAAAACGAAGTGGAAAAAGATCGATCAATGTTAGCTTTAGTTATCTATACGAATCAAAGAAACTATTTTTTAAGAATGTTGAAAGTCAACTTCAATATTTTGGTTTCTTTACGACTTTTAGTAATGAATGGGGCGACAATTGTGATATCGACGTTTTGAACTTCGAACAATGGATTGATTAAAGAGACACAGCTAGACATGAAATGTGAACATAACAGCATATGGCCAAGGAAAGTTCATTTCCTTGAGCTGTCACGTGATGCTGGAACCACGGTGCCTTTGCAGTCGCTCTATTCCCGCGATCTTGCTCTTTCGTTAACAAAAGAAGGAAGAACTCTAAGGATTCATAGAAATGTCTTTATTGGTCTCTAAGGTTTAAATGAACAACCAGTACTGAAACAGACAAAATTAAACATTCTCAATGTTCCTAGATTATTAAACTTGTTCTCTGCTATGGAGCAATTTATTTTTCTCATGAGATAGTATGATACGCTTTCTCAGTTATTGCCTATAACTTTTGACCAAATGATAATTACATATGTTGTTATTAGAAGTGTGAAGTGTTTCTTCAAGTTCAATGTCCTGTGGCCTTACAACATCTTGCTTTTTGTGAGCTTTCCTCATGTAGTATGTCTTAAGCAGAATGCATAGACCGGTTATGAATGCACTACATGGCCAAAACATAGCGTGAAACGCTAACGTTTCATGGGCGCTTTTGTCTAATATCACCTCTGTGGGATCATTCGGGTTGAAGTAGCACTGAAAGCTTTCCGGATTCTCTCGCTTTTCCTTGGAGTTTTTGTATTTGAGCACCGATGCGAAGTTGTCTGAGTAATTTGGCTGACAAGGAGGCCCGTAGGTGCACTGAAATTGAAGACAACATTACCAGTGACTCATGTATTATCACAAAAGAACTTCTTAAAAACGAAAGCAAGCTATCGCCAACAGAGAGTATTCTATTTTCTAATTTTTAATTTTTCTAATTAACATAACTAAAACACAAAGGGTCATCATATATTTGCATAAATCGTCTGAGGTTGTGTTGTAAACAAACGGGATAGACTAGCCAATTTGCAGTCGATTTGAGGATTTAAAAAATTGGTGTTCCAACTTCAGTTGTGCTTTTTCGAGTCATGGTTTAGATATTAAGTTGAAATTTTAGGATTGAACTGTTTTAGAGTCTTGTTGATAGGTCTTTTTTAAACTTGGAATTTATATACTTCTTTAAGCTGTATTGCTTGTATTTGTTTAAATGTTCTTGGTGACGCACTGTCCAAAGAAGCCGATACGAAACACTTTGAAAATCCTTTCATGCGCAAATTATTTTTATGTTTGGAACTGATTATTTTCAGCCAGGGAGTTTCAATCTACATGCTCTTTAAAACACTGTGTTCCATTTTCAATACGTATTATTTAACTCTGTGAACAGCCATTAACCGTGTATGTGCGCAAAATTATTTTGACTTAGAAGAACAGGCATCTTTTGACTTACTTCAGATCCCAAATCGTATATGGTGTTATGCAGGAGGGCTGGCTGAGATGTTCCAACATCTTCAGTCGATTTCGCTGCCATTTTTACCAAAACCCGTAAACAAGGATACTTACTACAACAAGTGTGCATCCCACATGCGCAGCTAACATTACCCCCAGTAAAAGATGATTCTTGTACAACACACACACCTTTCTCAAAACTGAAACCTTTGGCTATTTTTCGAACGACGTCTAAGCCAAGAAACATCATGAGAAACACAGAGAAGACAATAAACGCTGTTGCTCCAGAAAGACACTTCAATCGGAGGACTGTTCGCTTTTCTTGCTTCAAAAGTTGTTCGTAAACTCGACGTATTTTCATCGATGGATGAATCCAAAGATATTCTGAAGAAATACCAAACAAATTTCGGAGAGTGAGATATGTTGAGCTTGACTCAGCTCAAAACAGCAATTCATACTTCGTTCTTCGCAACTGTCGACTTAGTTTTCGCTGCGAAGGTTGGCTTCTGTGTGTTCTCTGCAGGTGGTTTTCAAAAGGAACAAAAAGCTGACGTGTTGCAAGATTAATCTTTCTGAATTTACAAGACCCAAATAAAACGTTGATGAATATTCATTTTTTTTGTCAGTAAACGTGCGAACAAAAATCTTTACTAGAAGAACAAACTGCCGCCAAATTTTGGACATTAGAGTGGTGCTTTCATTTGGAAAAAATTAGTTTTCCTCTCTTGGGACGCTGGTATGACAATGGTCGAATGTAAAAGCGATATATTGACGCGGATAAGTATTTTAAACGGAAACAAAAGCTTCACTTTTGGTTAAGCACTCACTGAATAAAATGATGAAATAGCGTATTTATTGCACGTCAAAATTCAGGGAAGAACTTTGTATATTTTGTCACCTTTTTTTCCTTTACAGTTTTGTAATTTAGAAATGCATTGTGTTTGTGTGGACGGCTTTTGTTCAGTAAATCTTTATTCATCCTTTCTAATCCCACAAATGTAAATTTTCGTCGTGTTAACATTCGTTGTTTTTCAGCGATCTGCATAATTATAAACACATGTTGTAGAGCGATATCTTATTTTCCTGAGTGTTACACAAAGTGTGAAGACTTCCTTAACAGGAAAACATACTTTCACACGGATTAGGGATAAATCTTGGTCATGTCTTGAGTTTTGCATCATTTAATCTTTGATTAGCAGCGCACTTACTTTAAAAAAAAGAGCAAAAGAAAAAACGAAACAAAAAAAATCAACATGACGAAGAAAATAAAAGGAAAAGCAAAGAGAGAGGGAGAGAGATCCGCCCCGGAACTGAAAGAAACTGTCCTTACTTATTGGTTTGTTACTATAGGGCCCACCCCTTCCATCTAACTCGTTCACTTACGATGGCATACACACTACCCCTAAGACTCCAAGAGGAATCATGCTCCATGTCATTGTCATCAGATGTATGACCCCCCGGAAGTAAAAATAAAAAACTGTAAAAGAAAGCGAAGAAGAAGAAGAAGAAGAAGAAGAAGAAGAAGAAAAAGAAGAAGAAGAAGAAGAAGAAGAGGAAGAAAAAGAAGAGGAAGAAGAAGAGGAAGAAGAAGAAGAAGAAGAAGAGGAAGAAGAAGAAGAAGAAGAAGAAGAAGAAGAGGAAGAAGAAGAAGAAGAAGAAGAAGAGGAAGAAGAAGAGGAAGAAGAAGAAGAAGAAGAAGCAATTCAGAATTATATCGTTGAAATTGAGTCAAGCAATATTGCTCCAAGAATTGCATTTTTTTCTTCTTATCAAAAGAGTTTTAGAAAGTGATATAGAGCAAATTTCCTGGCAAATGTTGACACCTATTATTATAAGTTTCGAATTCATTAGGGGACCATCATCTTTTCTGTGTCAGTTTTTCGAACTTACTTTTATAATTTGTTTCCTTGCGACATCTGGAGCAGCAGTTTAAGTTTGCAGTTTCTGATCACGAACTTCCGCTCAATAAGAAGTAATCAAACTGCAAAGTGTAATTAGAGTTAAGAATGAAGACGAAGACCGTCAGTCAACACTCTAATTCTACATTCAGGTAATGAAAGCCAGATCCTCTGAAAATCCGGATCCGGTTTTTGGCGGAAAGTAATAATCTTGGCTGTATAGGCAAACTGATTCATTTCCATGACAAGTAAACCTGGAGGTACACAAGTTACAAAAAGCTAAGAGAAAGCAGAATAAAATTCAAAGGTGTTGTTTTTAGAAATATATGTGTGTGTGTGCGTGTGTTATAGCAATGTTTTTTTTTAAATTTGTTAATAGAACAAGTTATTTTTTGGAAAAAAATCGTTAACCTGTAGGAAATGAAAGGCACTCGTTGAAATAAAGGGATAAGAAAACCCAGTGAAGAGCATTTTGGTCGCAGAGTTTTTCCCATTTCTGAAGATCCAAAGCTCTAAATGGAAAATTGTTAAAGGTTAACTTTAGTTTAATCTCGTCAGCAACCGACATTTTACAAACAATCGTCCCCGTATTTCGTGAGAATCGTGTGAAACATCATCTGAGCGATTTTAGCTATGCGGTAAAAAGTTATTAAAATACTTCACTATTGATCAACAAAGAAGAAGATGATTAGTGAAACACAAATATAACGGACTGAATAACAAATGAATTTTATTACTTTTAAAGAGAAATGTTGAAAATTTTCAACACTGCGCAGTTTATATTCAACGTAAACGTTTCTTCCAAATCAATGCATAAGTCTCTTTTCAGTGAGGCATTTTCATAGAGTTTCCATACTGTTCTGATTCTAAAACGAGGGAAATCACTTAGAAGGACGCTTTTCTTCCTACTTTAGCGTCCCAGAGAAAATCAGCTCACAGAATCCAAATATACCTTGGATTGAACCTGATACTATCACTAAACCACTGTAGAGGGTTACCGTCCTCTGGAAACTGTTTACAGATTTTATGCAGCATTGTACATTTCTAGATTTGGAGGCCGATGTTTCTTAGTACAAGCAGGAAACCGCTATTTTTCTCATCCTTGCAAATGCAGTATCGTCGTCGACAACAATCGCATTCAATCTTTTTGTTCTGTGCGCTATCATACGAACTTCAGCACTACACATACCGAAGAATGGTTTGCTTTGTTTATTAATATGCTCAGATCTCTTTGTGGGGCTGTTTTCACAAACCAGTTTTATGATCAAGGTAGGCTTTGGAAACGTCACGGTGAATCCTTCCAGAGCTTGTTTCCTATTGGTTCATGTCTGGGACATTTGGCGTTATTGGAGCTGGAGTGACATTTTTAAATTTGTTTTGTCTAAGTGTGGAACGATACATTTCTCTTATGTCTCCTCTTAGATACGAAGCCATTGTTACAAAGAATCGCGTGTTATTTGATGTGGTTACCTGTTGGATCTTCACTATTTCATCAGCATTGTCGCGGTTCGTAGAATCAGGTTTGGGTTTACTTGCATGTGTGATCATCCCATTGCTTCTGGTCTTAAATTGTTATTTCCATCTGAGAATTCTTCTCTTGGCGCGTCATCATAAGAAAGCCATCCGGGACATCACCCGTAATGTTGCAGCCAGTAAGGACAGAAACCCGTTTGTAACATCAAGAGGTAAGACGGCTCTAACCATGACCTACCTGTTCGCCTTGTACCTGATACGTTACACTCCACTTTTCTGGTGTTTTGTTGCCATGACGATAGAAGGTAGGATGACAAAAGACCTCCATGTGGTAATTGGTGTTGCAGCCACTGTAGTGTACACCAACTCATCTCTTAATCCAATATTTTATTGCTCGAGAATGCGAGAAATACGGAGAGCAGTTTTAAGACTTTTGAACAGTTTCAAAGGTAGCCAATAAGTTTTTTTTGGTAACTCATAGAAAAGAAGCCCCACAGTGAAAAAAGAAGGAGAAAATGAACAAAAATGGCTAGAAAGGAGGACGATTAAAAAAACAATTGCTAATGGAAAATTGGAAGTTTCTAGGTATTTTTAACCCTGTCGCTAAAATTGTGGTCTCGCTCCCTTTTCAAACATGATAATCCTCTGGACACTACACGCTAATGGTTCATAGGGTCAGGAACCTGCAGGATTTTAATATTGTTTTTTGTTTTTGTTTTTGTTTCTTTTTTACGCTTTTATTTTCTATTTTCTTATATATTAACAAGAAATTTCTTTGACCTGCAGATAGCAAATGCTAATCAGGGTGGGTTAATTTTTTTCCTTAACTATAATTTATTATAATTTACTGGAAATTAAACGAGAATGAGGAAATATAACATAAAAAGACAAAAAGATACACATGAAAACATAAATGAAAGATGTTCATTGTAAAGGCAAAGAAAGGTCGACTGAGATTTTCTGAGTGTATGCTAGATATTGTAAAACTGGTTCAAATTGGTTCAATTTTGCTGTTTGAAATTTAGCATTATAATTATCTCATCAAGTTCCATATAAGAATTTTCAGTCTCTGGAATATTGAGAAGAGCTCTTTTTGTTTCTTTTTTGAAGGATTTCATTGACAACTTTTCATATTCATAACGTATCTCATTCCTGATTTTGACACCAACACGCTAAAAGGCCTTCTTTGCATTGTAAGCCTGCAGTACTTAACGCTAAACAGTTGTGGCGTTGATGAGCGAGTAGTATATGTATTGATGTTTGAAGTTCATACTGTTAGAGGGTGCACTGTTGTTACGAACATCCAGCTTTCATTTACGCAATGAGCTTCGTAATATAAGAAGGTGATAGGTGAATTTTTGCATTTACAAATAAGGGGATTGCATGAGAAGTTGTCAACCAAATAAAAACACTGGCCAAACTCTTCTCGAGACCTTCTTGTTAAAAGGCTAAGAGCTATATCTGATTATCTCTCACGCTGTAAGAGAACATGGATCGTTTATGCTGCTGTTGTCTTCACCTTTCTCAATACTTAAAGGAAACGCAACAAACCTCGCCGATTGTTGTCGTATCAATTGCTGTCAGATCGCAACAAGAATCTTCTTTTTTTCCTTCAGTTCAGGCCCACACCTGCAAAAACACAAAATTCAAACGATATCTGTCAAGGGTGTTATTTGTATTTGTTGTAGATTTTACAACTGCCTTCGTTATACCAGTAAATACCTTTTATAGCCTTTTCTCTTTTATTAAGGCTACTTGAGATGTTCTCTTTTTCGCTGTTTGTTCTCTTTTTGTCTCTTCCTAGTAAGCTCAGGAAACTTAATACATTCCTCAATTGTTTATCAAAGAGCAATGTACCATAGATTGTCCCATTGTTCAAAATAGTGTTTGCACTTTTTACTCTGAGTAACAATGTCACTGTTCTAATGAATGAAATCATCAATACAAATAACAATATCTTAGTTCGTTTGTTAACCTTCACTTTCCCAAAAGGATACATTTTACAAGTGAGCAAACACAATTTAACTTAATTTCCTGCTTTAGAAATGAAAGTTAAAAGTATTTTTCAAAGAAATAGTGATATCTAATAATGGGCAATCAGCCAGATTATTCCGTCCCCTTCAAAGGTGTATTTTGCCAATTCCTCGTAAGTTTACTTATGTAGCTTTGTAATATTTAACCAGGGCCATCTTTTCAATATCGATTTTTATGCAAATGAATTCATTCGTGCCTAATTGATATCTTTCAACACCTGTCCGAAGGCCCCTTCAATTCTGTGGTAAGTTCTCCTACGAACAGATGAGTCGTAAAAGCATGTATAAACTGAAAAAACGACATCGATTAAATAGTTTTCAATCTTCAATAAAATTGCTCAACGCTTGGTGAAAATAAGGGAAAATATTCGTTTTAATTGTAATGTTACTGAGGCAAGGTAATGAACTAAAGTGCACTTACGGAGAAAATTGAAAATTTAATTAAGGACAGAAACACAAGAGGATGAGAAGTATTTGCTTGTGAACCCGTAGAGTTCAGAGGCTTTTTTCCAACGAAAAAACATTAAAGGGGGTTACGGATTTTGAAAACTCGACTTGTTAACCGTTGGAAATTGTTTTCAAGATAAATGAAGAGATTAAAACGACAGAAATGAACAACAGCTGCAGCTTGAACGAAGCCAGGAAGTCGCTAAATCGATCCCTCGATAGGAGCTGTTATTTCCTTGAAATCAACGCCGATGTACCTTTATACGTTTTTATCGTGAACTTAACAGTTTCCGTTATCAATGGAGCAACTTCTGTTGTGGTAGTGACGGTGAACACTTTAGTACTTATTGTCTTTTGGAAAACTTCCGGCCCTTCACACGGCTGGTAATGTCCTCCTAAGCTGCTTGGCTTTCTCCGACTTAGTGGTCGGTTTGGTTTCCCAGCCTGCATACATTCTGTACAAAACCATTGAAAACCGAGGAGAATTTCGATTGCTTTGCATGACGCAGTTAATAGCAGAGCTCAGTCACAGGCTGGACAGCATCTGGTGTCTCTCGTTCCTAACACTGACTGCTATCGGTGTCAAGAGGTACATCTCGCTGTATCGACCACTAACTTACAACACGCTGATCACAACTAGGAGAGCCTTTCTGGTAGTGGCATCCTTCTGGAGAGGTCTCATTTTGAGAGAAATCTCACGCTTTTGGTTCCTTGACAGCATCTCTGCTAGCTACCCAGCCATTATTTCGATCATCATTTGCCTTGGCTTGAGTTTATGATCTCATTGGAAGATTCACTCAATCGCAGTACGACATCAAAACTCCGTGCGGGACATCGCGCGCGTAACCGCACGCTTGAAGGGCCAAGATTTTTCACAGAACACGCGACGCGAGAGGAAGGCGGCAGTTGCTGTGTTAGGGGTGTTTCTCCTGTTCTTGATTTATTATTGTCCGATGATGTGCTGTTTGATAGCTCAAGCTGCTTTCGCCGTGTCGGCGACATTGTCATATGTGGGTTTTATATCTCATTGTATCTGATTTATCACTTTCACGGGTTTATTACGAATCAACTTAAAGGCCTGCTCCCAGTTGGCTTGTTACAAGTAGCTCAATTGGTAGAGCGCTGCACTAGTATCGCAGAGGTCAGTGGTTCGAATCCCGTACAG